CAATCTACACGATCAGTTCACACCAAAAATGTGACCACCTATCTAGCCAAACCTAAATCCCGTTGACTACTACATGTGAGGCGTTGTTGAACGAAGAAGAAGTCAAGGTTCCAACAATACGACTAAAAGCCACCATTACCTGAATAATATCCATTATCAATACAGACCATGCGTAGTGTGTATGTTAACGATTGCGATTAATGTCATCTTTACATCGAATAAACATGAAATCGAAACATTAGATATTTGTAAGTTTTTTTTACAGTCTTCAATGTTTTCCCTCAAAACGTTACGTACCATATATATATATATATATATATATATATATATATATATATATATATATATATAAAAAAGGCTTAAACACTAATATTTCCTGGTCATAATTTATTCCTTTGGAATCGTAAATCAATTTATCCAATTTATATATATATATATATATATATATATATATATATATATATATGATGGACTCTCCCGTCGGTTTCGACGTATGAGGTTCAACAACTTTGTTTATTTAACCTTGTGCGTGAGTAGCAAGTGACACTTCAGTCCCGCCAGTGATTTGCAAAGAAGTCCACAGATTGTACAAGAGTGTGGATTCTTGGAGTAAATGGCCGGAACAGCAGCAGATATTTTATTCCTTTCCCTAGTTTGAAGAAGCTTGACAATGTTTGATGCTGCCTTGTTCTTGATGCTATTGTAGCATATAGTCTTCCATTCATTACGATCAATTACGATTCTCAAAGGTAGTGTGATTTATATTCGCAGCTAATAGGTTACTCTTCAGCTTGTCACTGTACCTAAGCAAAGGCCGACCCAAGTTTCGATGACCATTGTCAAGTTGATCATACCTGAGCATTTTTGGAATTCTGTTGTCTTGCATACGTAATACATGACCTGTCCAGCGTAATTGTGATTTCAGGGGAGAAAGGACTCAATACCATCAATATCACACATGGTGAAAAGTTCTGCATTTGCCATTCTGTCGCTTAGGTGTACCCCACAGATTTCCTGAAGACAGCCTTTGTGAAAAAAATCTAATTGCTGAATTTGCTATCTGTATAGTGTCCAGGACTCTGAGCCATACAAAATGATTGTGAGAACTACAGCCTTTTACACCTGTATTTTGGTTCCATGCCTAATACCACGATCTTTCCAAAGTCGATGACGAAGTTTTCCGAAGACACTAGAGGCTTTTGCTACTCTATTGATTATCTCATCATCTAGTGTTCCACTTGAATTTACTTTGCTGCTAAGATAATTAAAGTTCTTTACATACTTCAGATTATGTCCGTCGACTTGGATTGTTATTTCAGGAAATGCAGGGACCGGAGGGTTCTGCTTGACGCCTCGGATCTGCTTAGGTACTGGGGCAGGCTGGTGAACAACTTCAGTTTTTGTAATGCTAATGGTTAATCCGAATGCTTTGCAAGCGGCAGAGAATCGGTCCGTCAGGCGCTGAGCTTCTTCAAACGAAGTAGCAACAAAGGCAGCGTCATCGGCAAACAATAAGTCGCGAATTATGCTACTTCGAGTTTGAGTTTTGGTTTTAAACCTCTGGTGGTTGAAAAGGCCACTGCTTGTCCTAAATTGAATTTTAACACCATCCTCAGTTTCAGCAAATGCGTGTTTCAGCATTACAGAAAAGTAGAGGGCAAACAGTACAGGGGCCATAACACACCCTTGTTTAGTGCCATTAGTAACGCCAAAGGAATCAGACGTTTCACCATTAGAAACAACATTCGCTTTCATTCCCTCGTGGAACGATACTATGACTTGTAGCATATTCTCAGGTATACCGAGCTTTCGCAAAACCTTCCACAAAGCAGTTCGGTTCACAGTGTCGAATGCCCTTGCGAGGTCAACAAACACCATATACACTTCCTGATTCTTTTCACGAACCTTCTCGGCAACCTGTCTCAGGGAGAAGATCATATCTATGGTGCCACGACCTGCACGAAAGCCACACTGCGACTCAGGATAGATATCATCAACTATATGCTTTATGATCCGGTTCAAAATTAATCTGGCCAAAATCTTACCAGCTAGAGAAAGAAGAGAAATGCCACGGTGATTATCACATATCTTCCTGTTTCCTTTCTTTTTGTACAAATGGTGAATAAGTGCATCTTCAAAGTCTTGTGGGACCATTCCCGGCTTCCAAATTTGAATAAATAATTCAAGCAATTTCTCTGCAAGCTTTGTGCCACTGTACTTAAAAAATTCCGGTGGGATTGCATCTTTCCCTGGTGTTTTCCCAGACATTAATTGTTTAATAACTGGCAAAACCTCCTCAAAGGTTGGTAAAAATGATAGCTCTGGTATTCTGGGCGTTGAGGGATTGATTCAAGAACAGCTTCGTCAGTGGTAGATTTGTTGTTGAGAACAGTATCAAAATGTTCCTTCCACCTTTTCAAGATTTCAGCCTTGTCAACAGATTTCAACGATAAGGTGTTAATACGCTTTGGAACAGAGGATTTTCCCTCTTCTGCGATCT